CACACACACACACACACACACACACACACACACACACACAGAGTTATAATTAAAAAGCTTTGTCTGTAAATATGCTCTATCTGCAGCTTTCCAAGTGGGCTTTATGAGCATTGAATTTAGTTTTTGTTTTAACAGATCTCCGCCATTTAAGCCCTGTTACAAAGCAGTAAATATGTTTTGTTTTCAGCATCTAAACATCTGTTCAGCAAATTATATTAATTGACCAATAATATCTTTTTCTTGATCAACTGATTAATGGATGGCTAATATAACCACTGCAGCGCTGGTTTCTTCCATTGAAAGAATCACACGCTGGCATTAAATCTGCACTCTGGTTTTCTGCCTTCATATAGGGTTGAATGTTCTGCTGTTACTTTCCTTCATGAAACCATTCGATTAGATTCTTGATAATTAACTATATGCTTTTGCTCTTGTAACAGAAAGTACTCCTTCGTTTAGTGTGCCTTCCTAGACGGAGGCATTGATGAAGCAAATGTTTTGATGAAATAATTGTTCTTCTGTTTTCGTATAGAAGGTCTCCCTGTCTTGAACTGCTCCACCAATTAAGAACCTGTCTCTTATATTATAAAGTTTTAATTGCTCTGTTGTTCTGAATCATTTTTCTGTTACTGGACCGTTCACTGATGCTCTGCTCCTATGAAATATACATAACAAGTGTTTCTTTCATAGAGAGTAATTCTGTCCAATCTTTCGGTTTGTTTTTTATTCACACAGCCAGTAAAGTAGCTTTTTTTCTGTTATTTACCACATGGACTCTGTCCAGTAATTTATTATATCATCAACCATTTCTTAGAGAAAGAAAGGTATGTTTCGTTTTTTTTTCCTTCAAAAAGAAAGTACTCTTGGTTCTGCATTTTGGTATTTAGGATGATAGAGTGCTGCTAAAATTCCTCAATGCCATTTGGACTGTATTTAATTTGTACTAATTATGTCTCTGAAACCAGATATATATCCACATATTGGAAGAATAGGATTGGTCAGAGCTTTATGTTCACCTTGATTTGGACTTGCTTTTTTAATGCCTATTAATGCAGCGATGGTTTTGAATTGGCACCTTTGAGTTAAACTGATCTTATAGTCAATCATATTAGAAAGGTGCAGATCACTGGACCTGGATGTAAACTGATGACCCCTGTTTAAGTAGAACAGATTCATTCGAGTTTTTTAAGAGGATATTTTTTGTTTTACTCTTCATAACAGATGTGAAACTACCAGTCCAACATTTAAAATAGTATAATTTTTACATATGTAGGAATCAAACCTTTTTTAATCAGCTCAAACAAAATTCTAAAGTTAGGGACTGAGCAGGATACAATCTGTAGTTGTACTGAAATAAACCCCACAGAAAGGTCACATCACAAACAAGAGGAAAGTGCAAACAGGAAGGTTCCTTACTACAGCTGGCTGGACTGACTTACTCTAAAGACGAGACAGGAGTGTGCTCCATGCAGGAGTCTGCTCGGCCAACCGGCTCGATTCGCCCGTTCTCATTCTCCCTGGTCTCCTCCTCCTGGAACAGAAAACACAGAGACTGAAAAGTTGCAGAAAAGAAGACATCTGCTGCACGTCAGCTTCAACTTCTATGTTCCTCAGCATTGCATCCAAATAAAGCAAATAACCACAGGCTCAGCTGTAGAACTTCTGGATGAACACATCAGTCCCTGACAGCTTCAGATTTGTTTATACTGATATTTTCAGTTTTGCAGTTTATTTTTCAACAGACAATACAGTTGATAGCCAATTACAATAAATGCAATAAGTGTAGACAAAAACATTAATAGTAATAATTTCAACGGCTCCCACATAAAATGGTTTGATCAAAAGACCTCCGCCATTCAGAGGACTCTAATGGCGCTCAGTAACTGAGGGAGGAAACTGGAGAGACTTATACAGGAGAGAGACTGAGGAACTGTGGTTTGTTATGGACATCGCCTAAGTTTTTATGGGTTGAGATACAGCTATGCCTTCGCTTTGGGTCGTAGCTTCTTGCTTCAGCCTCCATAAGGAGGAAGTTGGCTTATTTAAGTTTCCAGAGGATCCTGAGCTGCTTTTTACCTGGGTGAAGCAGATCAGATGATCAGAAAGATTTTGAGCATTCAACAGCATCTTTTATGTGCTTGGAACATTTTGATAAGGATTTTTTTTTTTATTCCTTCATTTTAATTGTTGTTCGGTTGTTGAGTGAATATTTACCTACGGCGTCTCTCCAAGGGGGGAGAGATGGAACAAGAAAAGCCGATGTTTGATCTAGACTACAGCTTACATCTTAGACCAGTTCTTAGGAATAACGTTGTCAGTTCTCAGGTATTAGGAAAAATACCTGAGAACTGAGGATATCCTAAAATGTACACCGCATCAGAGACAGAGGGATCTATGCCAGGCTTAGCAAGGCATGTTTCCCTGCCCTGCGTTTTCTACCCGCTGTTATATTAGCATCCCAGCTCAAAGTCTGACTCTCTAGGCTAGAGGCTCTGGATGGTTCTGATCTATGTTCCTCAGCATCACTACCTTCTCCTGAACTTAAACTGATGGTTCAACCTCACAACCCATTTCCAGACTAGATAACCTGGAGCAAACATCAATGTTTCCATCCAGCTCCATCATAGCTCAGCTAGCTCCAATAGGGTTCTCCCTCATCACCGCACAGACATGGGCTTTTACCAGCTTTAAGTCAGAGTGCTGCTGTGGAGCTACTCAATGTAGGACATTTGTGTTAAAAAGAAGCCTGTTTGATTCATAATACCTCAGCACCACTCGGTATGTCCTGTTGCATGATTTTAGTGCGAAATGCATGAAAACACTTAAAAACATTTTAAGCCTTGAGAAGTTTAACCACATATGTTGGACAGAGACGAGTCACATTAAAGAAAACTCCATTTCAATGTGGAGAAACATCCAGCAGACACACAAAAACCTCACAAGCAAATGTCCAGCAGCCCTTTCTGTATTAAAGAAGGAAGGCATTCATGGTAGAATGTACTCCTCAGAGCAGGGGTCACCAACGTGGTGTCCACGGGCACCGAGAGCTCCTCCAGGACCACATAAGGTGCTTTCAGCATCCTCTGCAAACAGAACTACTCATCAGTGGGCGACATTTGAAATGTTATTCTGTTCTTTTTTAAATCATTTATAAAGTGTTTCATCATATAGATCATTCAGGCATTTGTAGATACTTTAAAATGACAGTATCTAATAGAAAGAAAAAAATCTGTTTTTTATATATGAATTTTAGGTGACCGCCAGCCCCTCCAGTATCGGTAGTCCTTCCTATGTCTCAGTACCTGTGAAGTAGCCATCAGCCTTAAAAAGGTTGGTGACCCCTGCCTTAGAGGCTTCATCTAGGAGAGAAACTATGGCTGACAGAAAAACTCTGAACCAACACTGAGACCAAACCATCACCCTTCTGCTTATCAATATATGAATCCATTTATCAGTTTCCATTCAGCCACCCATCATACACCCATTAACAGCCAACAATCCATCTACTGAACTCCTTACTTATCTAAACATCTGAGCTATCCATCCATTGCCACAAAATGTACAGGTCCTGGATTCAGATGTAAAGTATCGTAGCAAAGGGGCCGCTACCAAGGCGCAGCAGGTCTACTCTACACCACATAGCCATGAACATCTGATCCTATGAAACAGAACCAAACCAGCCTAAGCAAGTACAAACTTTTTAACCAATTTTCTCCATGATCATGTGGTTTAGTTGTCATCTCTATAACCAAATGAGGGGGGGTACAGTGGTTAACCATCCACGGTTTTAACTTTTTCACCACCCTTTTCCTCCATCATACCATGACTGGTTAAAAGGTCTAGATCACTGAATTCCTTCACTTGAGGCAGATATTTACTCTGACCTTTGTTAGCCATTGGTTAACCTTGTTTCCTGTGCTTTTATCTCTGAAAACAACTTGGTGAATTATTGCCCCCTAGTGTTTGCCTAGTTAGCTGCTCACTATTTCTAAAACAAGAAATATTAACACATTCATATCTGGTTAATTGTCAATTATCTTCTTAATGTTGTCCTTTCATCTCCAACTATTCTACAAATATTTGGAAATTCTTAAAACCCCCAAAAAACAGGCTGATTGACAAACCTGCAGAAGCCAGGAGGAGCAGACTGGAGGAGGTCTTCCTAAGGTATAAAAATACATGCCCTTCAAAAAGTCTAATGCCTTCTAACTCACGTTGCCTTTGTTCTCCTCACTCTTCACATAGTGTTTATGTTAGAACAGTCAACTAGAGACTGGTGGCATTTGTGCACGCGCGCACACATTCACACACAGGGCACCATGAGAGTAGAAAAATGAGAAGCAGAGAAGAAAGGTCATTAAAATTTCACGGCGATACCAGAGAGGAGATACAAGCGAGCAGCAGCGACGGCTCAGACCTCCCCGGCAACTGGCCTCATCAGTATGAAAATGAGCCTGCCGTTACCGTGGCTGCTGTACAGTTGCCATGACACTTTGGTTGCCTGGACATGCCGCTGCAGGGTGGTGGATGAATGCGGGCATGTGTCAAACAGAGCTGAGGAGGAGACTTCTGTCACTCCTGATAAGTCTAAAAAAGCTTTTCTGACAAGAAAAATACAGAAATATCTGTATTATATTGGCTTTTAAAATACAAGTGCTCCTTTTCTTTACATTTTATACTTCCTTTTTCAAATATTAAAGGCCAATGTTGAAAAAAAAAAAGGACCCAAACAGAAAACTATACCCAATTAAAAAAAGAAAAGCTTTATTTGATTTCACTTATTTGATATTTGATTTCTGAAACAAATCAATTTCAAATCAAATTTATTCAACATATTCTTATTGATTTTTTCCTCCACTTTTTTTGGCTTCTTCCCCTTTATTTTAATCCTAGTGATACACTTTTTTAAAGATCCGATCATCAGCACAGAAAAATAGTCTAGTCATAACCTAAATAACTCCAAATAAGATCCAATTTTTTGTACCTTGACTTTAAAGGTATAGTGGAGGATTTTTGCACATTTTTGAAAAGACTCTCCCTCTCCACTGAGAGAGAACGAAAGTTACTGTGAAGTTCTATGAATCCCAGATGACCGTCAGAGGTGGTGCTTCAAGCGCAGGTCAGGTATTATTGACAACAAAGTCACCTGTGACCTGCCAGGGACCCATGTGACTCTATATGGTCACATGGCACCCAGCGTTCAATCCCTCAATCTCAGATTCCGAGGAACTAAGCACTCTGGCGGTCATCCGGGTTTCATAGAACTGTAGTGACAGCAGTAACTTTCGTTCCATTTCATCCCTACTGACCACCAGAGGTGGTGCTTCAAGCACTGGATGACTTATGTCAACAAGCTAGGGATGGAACGGTTTATGAAAACAGTCCGAACCGTTCGGTTCGACTGTCTCGGTCCAATTCGCGTGTGTTGCGTTCAGTTCATGCGCTGCTCTTTTTTCCTTTTTCTCATAGGCGAAGTGTGTACACTCCAGAGCAGAAGGTGGCAGTACTGCGACCAAAGCCAACCACCAGTAGTAAACAAGGAGAAGAAGAAGCGAAGCAGCGTAGCCGGGTGTAGCAGAAATAAATCAGTTGTTGTGGGGAATTGTGTGGGTATGGCGAGTGGGAAAGAACAGGAGTTGAAAGACTCGCCAGCAGCACATTATAGGTCTGCTGTATGGGACCGCTTTGCATTTAGAGTGACCTACGATGACGGCGGAAAGAAAGTTGTGGATAAAAGTGCAACAGTGTGCAAGCATTGTGCAACACGTGTTTTACTATACAAGACATAATAGATTTTCCTAAAATCAACATATACCAAACCGAACCGAAAACCGTGAACCGAACAAAACTGTGGATTTTGTGAACCGTTCCATCCCTACAACAAGCTAACGAGGAATCTGCAATACTGCTATTAAAAAAAGAACAAAGCTTACCAGTCGTCGCAGTGGCGACCACAGATCTGGTAAGGGTGCAGAAAGAAAAAAACAACAGCATGGGCAGCCCCTGGAGGGCGAGACCTACCCGCATCTCCGACCAAAGTCGGTCACGGGGCTACTAGCAAAAAGCAGCTAGGATTACAGTGGTAAATACAGAAGCAACCAGCTTCACACCACCACACCTGCACGCGAGAAGAACAAAGGGGATTGAACGCTGGGTATCATGTGAGTATATAGAGTCACTTGGATCCCCGGCAGGTCACAGGTGACTTTGTTGTCATCAATACTTGACTTGCACATGCAGAAGACTGATCATTCAGTGCTTGAAGCACCGCCTCTGGCCAATCAATAGGGATGAAATAGAACGCCTATTAAAGGCGTACAAGAGCGTGCACGAGCACATTTCTCCTCGTGCACGCCCTGTTTATAAGTTGCTGTTTGGATCGCTCATACAAGCTTACTTTCCAAAAGAAGATTAGCAATTTCTCCACTATGTCAGACTCACCACCGGTAAGTGAAATCGGGGACGAGCGCATAGGAAGGCCTTACGTAAACATATCACTAGAATGACTGACAATTACCACGTACCACTTAT